TGCGCGCCGCCTTCTACTCCATCGTGGGGCTCAGCAGCCTCGGGGTGAGGGTGGCGGACGAAAAGGTGAGCGAGGCAGAGCCCGGGTATGGCTGCCCGGGGCCGCTTTGCGGTGTAAGGGGCTGCTGTATAGCAGTGAATGACGAATTATTAATATAATATGGGTTTATAGAGAGAGCTCTGCTTGGACAGGGAGATGTAAAGCGTTTATAAAAGCATTGTATCATTAGTAAGTAACAGAGTGTCATTGGTAATTGGCGACTGTCATGTATTATTTGGATATATTGCATTTTTGTGCGGGCACTAACGTGGCCCTGGCTCGCTTGCACTCTCTGCTGTGAATGGTGCCTTCAGGGCCCGCTGTGATGTTACTGTGGATATCAATTTGTTTAAATGCCTTGTGAATAAGTTCCCTGCCTGTGGCACATTTAGTGCACTGTACTGTTAAACTGAGCTCCTATTAGTTTGTTTCAGTTTAAGTGCTGAATTCAGGAGCAGTTAAATTCTTGGTTATTTTCTGGTTAAAATGCATCCCAGTGATCCATCTATCCAGCTGTCATTAACACAAATTAACAAGCAGACAATGCTTGCCTTTATGCTGTACCTGCTTGCTCCACTTTTCTCTCTGCACTCTTTGAAATTCTGTATCCATTGATGATGGTGTGATATACAGTCCTACAGAATATCTGTTCTCTTATCCTGGAAGATTTGGCCTACTAAATACACCAGTTAGGCTTTAATTCTGATAGGCTTTATAATTATACTCAGTTTAGGTTTGAATTATGGTTGCTGTAGAACTTAGGTCTTCCTTATGTCTTTTAGGAGGAGCCACCCTTGTTTCTGTGCAGCACTTAGCAGAGTAGGATTTGGGGGGAATAAAAATGCACAGTGTTCATGGAATTGTCTTAGAGTATCATTTAAATCTCTTCTCAGTGGTTTAACTTCTGTTTCTGCACAGGCTGCATGTAAGTTCATCAAATCTCATGTGGACTCCAGCAGTGTTGAATCTCTCTTTTATGCTGCCCAGGCCATGCAAATCCTGTCAGGCTGTGAGGTGAGTGTGGAGTTCTGCAGACAGACACCAACAAGGAAATACTGGCCTTGATATCTTTCCTTGGTTTATTTTATGCATAACTTTTATTTTCCTTTAGTGGCTTGTTCTCTGTTGTGCCTTAGGTAAATAAATGTTTGGGTGTGCTCCACACAAGGCAGAGTGTAAATATGTAACACAAGTATTTGGTCCAGGGTAATTCTGAGGGGATGTTTTTTAATTGAAGAAAAAGATGAAAGGCAGCACATTTTGTTAGAATCCTGAGCACTGTTTCAATTAGAAGCTCTTTGTGTGTGTGACAGATTGTTTGGTGCTGGATGCAGATGCAGAGCACCCTTGCTGAGCTGGGGGGGGGTTACCCAAGCCCTCTCTGCCATCAGGACCCCTGGCTACTGCACAGTGAGGTGCTGCCACATGAAAAGCTGTAGCAGGTCACCAGGGTACCTCTGAATGGATTATCCTGACTAATTGATGGTTGACAACAAAACTTAAGGATTTAATCAATTAAACTAAAAAGTAATGAATGACAAAAGGATTTTCCCCAGAATTTTATAGAAGTTCACCAATCTAGTGTTGCTCCAGGAGGGAATCAGTGGTGATTTGAAGACCATTTTTTTTTCAAGTGTGAATCACTGTCATCCCTGTGCTCTTCCTCAGGTCACCATTTCAAATGAGACCAGGGAGCTGCTGCTGGCAGCTGTCAGTGAGGATTCCTCAGTCACCCAGATCTTCCACGCTGTGGGTGCCCTGAGTGGCTTTGGCCTTCCCTTGGCATCCCAGGAAGCTCTGAGTGCCCTCAGTGCTCGGCTCAGCAAGGAGGAGAGCGTGCTGGCGTGAGTCTCACACGGGAGGGAGTCATGTTTACCCTCCAGGCTGCTGGGGTTTGAATTAAAAACTGTTTTATTGCTTAATATTTGGAATATAGATGTGTTAGAGTAGGTGCTGTCCAGTTCATTATTGTTTCTCAGGGCAACAAAATATATGGGGGGTTGAGTTTTGGAGCTATTTTTATATGATTTTGTAAATGAACTTATTTATTCACTTTAGTTCAAGGATAATGGTCAGTAAAGGGATGGTATCCCAAAAAAGCCTCCTCTTAAAAGGATTGATAACAGAATTTTTACTTTATACCTAACCATGATTGTGTTATTTATGGTTGCAGCAGACTTAATGCTCTTTCTCAGCCCTGTTTGTAGTCTGGGGTGCCTGCACTGTGAGCTGGAAAATATGTGCCAGTGAGCTGAAGGAATCTTGGCATTTATCACCAAAAAAATTTGTTTCACTCTGAAACAAGAGAACAGAATGTCCCTTAAAGGCTGGGGAAGAAAGGGAAACTTTAAAACTTTTTTTTTTGCTGACTAAAAAGTGGATTCCTGGAAGCCTCAGAGGCAAATCTGGGATCTGTGCTCTGCAGGGATCAGTTTGTTCTCTGCTCTGTCTTTGAGTCCTTGCAGCTCTGATGCAGCGGAAGTGACACACTCTGTAATGAATGCTAAGTTCACACTAAATCACTTCAGATTCATTTTCTTGAATGAACTGAAGGCAGGAACAGCTGTTTTACACTTCATTCAGAATAGAAAATGCAGTTGCTTTGATTTAAATGATGTTTGGCTTTGAAGAAAGGAGTAATCAACACTTGTTTGGTTTTGTTTGTTCTTGTTAAAGAACCATCCAGGCTTTGGAGACTGCATCTCACCTGTCCCAGCAGGCAGACCTAAGTAGCATTGTTGAGGAGATTGAGGTAGGAACACACTGTGCTCTCTAATTACTCACACATTTGCTAGATTGCTTTGGAACTAAAAGATGCATTAATGTGAAAAAACAAAATGAAAAACCAGCCTGGCTAATTGTCTGCCTGCATGATGTGGCTTGGCTTTCAAGCAGATAATTCCTTGGACTTTTATCTGTTTCACAGTGGACTGAAAAATACACAATCCTGACATTTACATATAATTAAATCCACTAAAGGCTGGAGGATTTTCTTTCTTCCTGTTTCTAAATAACTGTTACAAAAAATATCATTGATCCTATACAGATAATTCTTGATTAAAGAGCTAACAGCAGAGTTCACTCCTGTGGATCCTCTAGAATGCAATTGAAATTTTAATAACTCTCTCTGTCAGGATCTTGTGGCTCGCTTGGATGACCTGGGTGGAGTTTACCTGCAGTTTGAAGAAGGAATTGAGACTACTGCCCTGTTTGTTGCTGCTGCCTATAAGCTGTCAGACCATGTGGGTACAGAGCCAGCAATAAAGGAGGTGTGTACCTGCCCTTTCCTTCCTTGCACACTCCAGGTCCCTGAAAGGATCTGCTCAGTCCCTGGGGTGCAGTGCCAGAGCCTGGTGTAACTGGGTGGAATTCCTACTGCAAAAAGTACTGAGCACACTCAGTGAAAAGGGACATTGTGGAGGGAATGCTAGGAAACAGAACCTAAGAGGAAATTCCAACTTAAAGATCACAGGCTGGATTGGTTGGGTTTTTTTCCTTTTTCAAGTGTACAGAAGAAAATTGCAAGTGAAGCTTAGTTTTTCTTTGTTTATTGAGATGTGGTGTTGAAAAAAACCCTTGTTTCAGAGTTTGTTCTGGTATTTGGCACTTGCAGCACTTTCCAGCATTTCAAGGTGTTTTGCAAATGTTATTTATCTGTGAGGAAGTGCAGGCACCCCAGTTTGGGGTGCCCAAAAGAGAGACAACATTACCTTGTGCCTGCAGAAATCCAGATGAAAAAACTTATTGTCTAAGATGAAAGACTGCTGGAAATTTCTTTTGATCTTGGTTAAGCCAGAAGTCATTACTGCAAGCTATCCACTTGATTTCTTTTTTTCTCTTACAAGTTAATGGAGTTAGATGTACTTTGGAGTGAGAATGGCAGCTCCCTAAAGCAGGAGCCAGAGTGGCAGGGTTAAGGCAGAAGCCAGTGAAAGACATCTGAGTTCAGTCCTGGCTCTTTTCCACACTGCTGCCAAACACATTAATGCAAAGTAATTTTAATGTCATTTTTGAGGTGGTGATTCTGCCACGTGCAATTCAAACTGTCAGCGTCCAAATGATGCTTTAAAAAAAGACCAATTAAGGGAAATTGGTTTTTTTTTTTCAGAATTGTGCTGTCAGAAGTGTTGCTGTTGGGGCATGAGGCTTTATCTCTGTTGAATAGTGAGAGTGCCTTTGGAATGCCACAAAACTGGCTATAAAAAATAACATGTAGTGTTTGTAAAAAATAACTCCCCTTTTTTTCCCCCCCACAAGTTCAGTGAGAGTGTCAGTTGCTGATTAAGGTCTGGAGCAGTGCCATGCCCTCCACAGACATGAAAAGCACTGCAGGATTTGCACTGTGCAGGAGTTTTGTAGCATTTGTCTGGATGCTTTCTCTAGTTGTGATGTTGTTTGGTGTTCACTGGTACAAAGCAGAAAAGTGAAAATTAAATGTGCAGTGAATTTCATTTAGAAGTGTTCTTTGCAGGTCACTAGGTTGTATCTTTATTGCTTTATTTGGGATTGTCTTTGATTGTACTCATTCTCATTAGGGTTTAGCCCAAAATCCTTGGTTTGGATCAAAGTCCAGGTAGCCATCCCTCTGTTTTCCAGACTAGCAGGGAGGGATGGAAGAAGCTGAATAATGAGGGGTAAGAAATAATCTGCATAGAGTGGTGCAGATGCCCTAACCCTGCTGAGTCAGCCTGCAAAGCCAGCTGGGGGATGCTGTCCCACTCCTGCTTTGGGGAGAACAAATGAGCTTTGGCACATCCCAGAGGCAGGGCTGGCTCTGTGCTCCTGGTGGTACTGCTTTAAAGCTAATCCTCTTAGCCTGAGGACACTGCTGAGCCTCAGGGGATAAGCCTGCCTGGACCTGGGCTGGCTCCTTCCAGAGCCATTGGGGTGCTTTGTTCCATGGCTTTCCCAGCCAGGATACCAAGCCTGGTTCTGCTCCTCTGTATGAGGACTTTTGTGCAGCTCTTGCAGCCAATTTGTCTTTTTGCAGCCACATGCAGTCTGGGTAGTTGAGCTGATGACATGTTTTTACTCTGAAACACATCATTTGCAGAGGTGGATCTATTTTCTGCTTTTCCAAGTTCTTGATACGCTTCCAGCCATTGTGGTTGGAGCCTCCCAGCCAAGAATAAGAATGCACATGAAATTCCAAAGGTAGATAACTTTTGGGTTGCCTCATAATTTGAACTGGTTTTAAAGCAAATGGAAAATTAAACAGTCTTTTATGAATGATGTTTTCATTAATAACATAATACTCAGCCAGTGTGCAATGTTGTGGGAAGCTGCTGGTGCTTATGTGTGGTTGGCTTTTCCTCTTTCAGGATCAGGTTATCCAGCTGATGAATGCCATTTTTAGCAAGAAGAACTTTGAGACTCTGTCAGAGGCTTTCAGCATTGCTCGTGCTGCAGGTGCCCTGTCCCAGAACCGCTTCCACCTGCCCATCATCATTGTCCCTGATGGCCCTGCAGCTGTGTCTCATCACCAGCCCCTGCTCAGGGTAAGCCTTAGCCACACAGCTTGGCTCAGGCTGTGCTGCTGTAGCTCTGGGCTGACAGAAGTGTAAGCTGTTTTTCACTTTTAGCTCTGTGGCTGAGGCTCCAGCAGATCTGGAATTGCAGGGTTTTTGTGAAGTGATTCTTAGGAACCTCAGCTTACCAAGAAGGCATGGTGTGGAAGTCAGCTCTTCACCTTCCCTCTTGTGTTAGAAAGAGCCAGGGAGGCTGGGATGCTGAGCAGGGGAGAGCTCTGGGTGTGTAACACTGAGTTACCTGTGCTCCTGCATTCCTTCTGGGCCAAGTCTCACAGAAATGCTGATTTTTCTCTCATAGCTTCAAGTGACCAATGTTATGTCCCAGCTCCTGACTCAAGTTTCTGTAAAGCTGGACCAAGCCAAGTCTGTGTCCAGCAAAGCCACTGTCCTTCAACAGCTACCATTTACTCTCTCTGGGTAAGAAAATAAGATTATTTTTAGAGTAAGGCAAATAGGTGTTTTTTAAGCAATGTTAGACTTATTTTCCAAAAATATTTTTCCACCAGAGAAATCTTTTTTGTGGTAGAAAACTCAAAATGCTGTGGTTGTGTTTTGTTAGTGTAGAATTACTGATCACATTTGGTGGTGATGGTGAATTTCTGTTGTTTTTTCTTTTGAATGGGAGTTTTGAATGGGAACTTTTGAATGGGAAATTCCAATGTTTCTTTGACTTTGGCCAACTTTGAAGAATTCTTTTACTGCTGCACTTAGCAGTGCTAGTTTTATGCTGTGTTTGTTTACCTGTTTAATGTACCATATTTGGAGACTTGTTGACACCTTGGGTTTTTTTGTTACAGAGATTTCTTTGAGCTGAACTTCATGAATGTGAAACCTGCTAGTGGATATTATGATTTCTCTATCAGTGTCGATGGAGATAAGCGATTTATTGCTAATAAAGTGGAGGTGAGTGTGCTCTTTGATGTATTTCCATTCTTTACCTATTCACTGAAACAGCTTTTTATTTATACTTGTGAAAGATGTTGCCAGTTGTATGGAATTTCTGTCACATGCTTTTCTATAATGCATTGGATTTTGACTCAGGATTATGGCCAGTAACCAGATTAAAACATGATCAAAAGGGATTTGTGTAAATTTCAAACCTGTCTTATCACTTAGATGCTGATCTGACAGCGTATGAGCAAAGGGTAACAGGGGAGGTGTTCATATGGCAGCCCTAAGTCAATATGCAGAAATGATTTCCAGTGTTTGTTCTTCAGAGCATTCCAGAGTTGAGCCCATAAATCTCAAGTCTCTGTCAGTTGTCTGATGTTTGCCTGCTGTGTGGAAGCTGAGCATTTGTTGTTGTCTGTTTGTATAAGCTCTGGAGCCCTACAAGAGAGTCAAGGGAGTCTTTGAGCATTTCCAAACTGTGTAGGTGGTGAAGGTTTTGTAGTGGAGAAGCAGTGACCAAAGCAGATGAAGTCTTTTCATGCACACACAGCCCTTTTTTGGTGGCAAAAACCACACCTTTCTGAAGAGCAGTTTATATAAACATTTGGAGTTTTCCATTCCTCAAGTTTGTTACAGTGAGAGGAATGTGACCTCTCTGACTGCTCATGTAGTCACCCCAGTGTCAACAGCTGAGAATGCTCTTCTCCAAAGAGGTCCATTCCCAGGGTTAATTTTTGCCCTCAATCACCTATCTAAGGAAACAATTAACATTTCAAGTCTTCCCACATATTTAGCTTGAAGTGGAGGAAGACACAACAGCTGACCTTTATTCTGAGTGTCAAATTGGCTCTGTCAGTGGAGCACTAATGGCCCTCAGGGTGTCAGAAGGGGCTGGATTGTCCTGCTTAAGCTGGGGCTGGCACAGGGAGGCACTGGCAGGAATGTATGAGCTCCAGCAGCTTTGTGGGAACTGCTGCTAATAAGACACATTGTTATGGGGGAGGACTGCTGGGGAGCTGCTTTTTTCCTTACTGTTATTAGCATTAATTGTCCTTAATGCACCATGGTTTTGACAGTAATGAGCTAAACCAGTGGGTCATTACTCAGGCAGAGACTACATTTCCTGGCATTAAAATATTTGAGAGATGTTTGTGTACTGTGCAGTTGGGGGGGGGGGGCTGTGTGCTGCAGCTCTGAGTTGCCTCCACACAACTTTTTTTTAATTATTATTTCTTAGTCCATTTTTCTTTGCTCCTGTTTTGGAACAAATGAAGGCTTTGCTAAAGTTAGCCTGAATCATCTGCATGTTAATGGATCCATTTTTGGGGTTGCCTCTCTCCTAAATTACACTTCTTTGTTGTAAAGGAACTGCCAAGATGATTGTGTTTGAAGTCTGACCTGAATAGTTTGGTTCATGTTTTTACATATTTTTCCTACATGTTCTCTGTGAATTATTTTTCAGGCTGAGGGTGTGGGGCTGGCTCACATGAGCAAACCTGTAATAACAAATTGTAGTATAAGATGAAAAATGTCTTGGCAAGGAGACTTCAATTCTCTAAGGGAGCATTTGTAAGCTGTGAGAACAAATGTGCTAATTAAAAACTACAGACTGCAGTAACTGCTTGTGTTTGAGAGAAGAATTGAAATCAGTCAAACCCACTTGGATCAGTGCCTGAATGGGCTGTGGTTTGGGGCTGGGGAAAGGGCAGGAAATCATTTCTCTCCTTGAGGTTTATACTGCACTTAGCACAGAGGAGTGAGATAAATGGCAGGGCTTTATTGGCTGCCCTGCACCGAGGGGTGAGTGCTGTGACTGCAGCAAAGCTGGCTGGACAAAGTGCAGGTCTGCAGGAATGCTTTGGCATTGCCTGCTGGTAATAAAGTCAACGGAAACCTCTTGGGCTTTGAAGGAGCCAACAGAGGCAGAACTGTTGCTGTCCACAGACCTCTTGTCTCAAATTGCTGTCCAGAAAGTAGAAGGACACGTGCACAGGCAGTGGGAAGTTGTATCAAATGTGATGTAATCTTTACTAGTGGCTTCTGCTAGTTCAGAGGGAAAACTGGATCTGGGTAGTTGGACTGTTTCATTCAAAACAGCTCTCTCAAGGCAGCTAATTCCAGCATGCCTGAGAAGTTGGTGTCTGCAGAGCTGGCTGCTTGTGCAGAGAGGAAGGGGGTGGGTCAGTGACTGGTGATGGAGCTTTGCCAGAAGGAAAATCCCTGTAGATCCTTTTGTGCAGATCTTTGACTTGGGCTTAGTCATAAGACCCTCTTTGGGGAAGAGGGACTGAAGAGATAAAGCATCTGCAGTGAACTTGGCCATAATTGCTGTATGCAGAGTGCTCTGAAGGATTTTCTATTGTGTTTTGTTGCAGCTGAAAGTAAAAGTTTCCACAGAAGTGGGGATTACTAATGTAGATCTTTCTACTGTGGATAAGGATCAGAGCATTGCACCAAAAACAACCAGGTAAAACAGCTTGGGGTGTGTGATCCTGGAAGGGCAACCCTGACTCTAAACTAGAGCCTTGGTTTCTCTGATCCAGGCCTTCTGTTGGAAAATCACCTCAGTTCTGTGTGGTTTTTTCCCTCCTAGGGTGGCTTACCCAGCCAAAGCCAAGGGCTCATTCACTGCTGACAGCCATCAGAACTTTGCTTTATCCTTCCAGCTGATAGATGTGAACAGTGGAGCTGAACTCATCCCTCACCAGGTTAGGACAATTTTTGTCATTGCTGTGTTACCAAGATGTTCCATCATGAAGCATCTGAAGTGACAGTTGCTCTTGAAAAGATTTGATGGGTTTTGAGAAGCCTTATGTTTCTGACATGTACTGTGAGGATCACTGATCTCACTAGCTGGGAGATTCACTTTGTTTTGTCTGTCTTTTAAATGAAACTCTCCTGGCTCTGGGATTGTGTTGTATTTAACTCCACAGATTGAGTGCCCTCTAAAAGCACACTTCTGATGTTTTTTTTAATGTAAATTGCTGTCAGAAAAGTCCTTGAGTGTTCCAATCTTCCTTGCAGACTTTTGTTCGGCTTCACAACCAAAAGACTGGCCAGGAGGTGGTGTTTGTTGCAGAGCCAGACAGCAAGAATGTGTACAAATTTGAACTGGATACCTCTGAAAGAAAGACTGAATTTGACTCTGCCTCTGGGACCTACACTCTTTACCTGATCATTGGAGATGCCACTCTGGAAAATCCAATCCTTTGGAATGTGGTATGTAGCTGCAAGTGGGTGATGTGGTTTTGTCATTACTGGCAGTCTGACAGGAGGGCATGGTATAGGCTTGGAAAGCAAAAAGCTCAAATATTTTGTTCTTTTTAGTGAAGCAAAATACTTTAGGCCGTTTGTGGGCTCTGAGGTTTGTTGTTTTTGCAAGTTTTAAGTAAACTTCAAAGCAAGACAGAAATTAACATTAATTTCATCATGTGGTGCAGAAGCTTCAGAATGGGTTTGATGCAATTTCACAGCAGGCTCTCAAGGTTTAACCTCTCTGTTCTTTCTCTGCTGGAAATAAGTCCAGCTCTTAATGATGGGTGAATGACATTACTGCCCGTGTTAGGAGAGGTGGCTTCTTAAAAATTATGGTGTCTTTTTCTCAATTTCCCTTTAAAAAATTATGTAAATTGTAGATTGTCAAATAGGGAAATAGGGCACAGTAATGGAATAGGTTTTATGCATTTAGATCTAAATGCATGAAGCTGCACAATTTCATTTCAGGCTGATGTTGTGATCACATTCCCAGAAGAGGATGCACCATCCACAGTCCAGTCCAAGAACCTGTTTGTTCCCAAACCTGAAATCCAGGTACAGTCAAGATTATATTTGGAGATGAGGGCTTAGTGTTGTGTTCTCATCATAGTTTATTTGTAAGTAATATAATTAAAGGAAGACCAGAGTTACTGCTTGATGGAAAGAAATTTGCTGGAGTTCTCTGGTGTATGAATAAAAAAGCTGTGTGTTCTAGCTATGAGAAAGCAACTGATGTCAGTGAAAAGACCCAAACATGAATATTTGGGCAGGTGAGCACCACAGAAAGGTCTCTGTTTCATTCCAGCCATCTGGGCTGATATCAAGCTAACCAGTGCTTCTGTGCTTCTGTGAGCGCAAGGAAAAGTTAACTGTGCAAGAAATCAAATGTGCAGAGACTGGAATAGACACTGTGTGTTAAAGAGCCAGTCTTTCCCTTGAGGAGAATGGCTCTGACCCAGAGGAACCTCTGGGAACAGCACCAGGCTGCAGCTTGGGAGCAGAGGAGCTGCTCTGTTGGAACACTGCTGCTCATGAGTTGGTTTTGTTTGTTTGCAGCACCTCTTCAGGGAGCCTGAGAAGAGGCCTCCCACAGTGGTCTCCAACACTTTCACTGCACTGGTTCTCTCCCCACTGCTTTTGCTGCTCATCTTGGTGAGTGAACTGGGTCACAGAAGAACAACAAACACTTTTTCCCATCCAGTCAGAGAAGGTTGGACAGCTCAACTTCTTGCTAAAACTTTTGGTTAATCATGACTGGCACAGCAGTGCTGGAGTCACAGCTAGCAGATGTCAGTGCACTGGTCTGGTTTGGTTTTTTAGGTTATAGTCAGAGCAGAATCACACTGCTGCCAAGTTGAAGTAGCTGGATGAGTTTCTTCAGTGTGCTTCAGCTGGGGATGGTGAATAACAGTGGGCAGATTAAGTTGCAATAACTTTAGACTTCCACAGGAAAAAGGCAGTTATTCTGCTTCACATATAATAAATCCATCACAAAATCTGTGTTACTTAATCCTGTCAGATTGAATTCCCATTTGTGGACATTTGAGTGTCTGTAGTTGAAACATCCCCTGCCACTCACTGTATCATCAGGTCAGTGCTTTGAACTTAATGCAATAAAAATCTCACTGAGAAGTTAAATTATTCCTTTTTTGGAAGATGAAACTGGTTCCAACAGTAATTTCCCATTAGCCAGTCTCAGTGAAAGCTGGCATTCAGGCAGTCATGTCCTCTGGTCTGTGGAGTTCACAATATACAAGGTTGTGACACTTTAATAAAAAAACTCATTGTTGCTGCTCCTCTTTTCCACCCTTAATGCCTTTATCTTTTATAGTCAAAAACTCCTAAGTGTTACTATGAGCAAATGTCTGGTGTCTATAGCTGTTCTTTGGATGAGTCCAAAATGAGAGCATTACCCTTTTTAAAAATTATTTTTAATGAAAATTAATTCATCTGCGTAGAAATAGCAATATCTTTCTTTTTCACTATTTAAATTTGGAGCAGTTTTCTCTCATCAGTTTAAGATATTTGAGGAACTGCATTGGGGCAGTCAGAATAACAGGAGACATTTCTACTGAAGGAGCTCAACAATGCTGCCTTTAGCAAAATTACTCCTATCTCCTCTTGCAGTAATTAACAAGTGCTTCTCTAGAGAATACACTGGATTCACTGAAGATCTTAAACATGCCTGAAAGAAGTTGAATCTTAAAAGCTGGTGTTTACAAGGCTGTTAAACTCCAATTTTGTTTCTTTTCCTTTTTAGTGGATCAAGATAGGTGCCAACATCTCCAACTTCAGCTTTGCTCCCAGCACCATTGTTTTCCACTTGGGACATGCTGGTAAGTGTCAGAGGCTTTGTGTGTGTTTGACCTCCTCACCTGGGAGTTGGAGATGAGAGCATGTGGTTAATGGGCTCGTGGTCTATTAACTCTAATGACATAACAGCATTACACTTGTTCTCTTGTTTCCATCTGCCTTCCTGCTTTTCATGATTGTTAATATGGTGATAAACCTGTTTTGGCCATCAGCTTATAACAGCCATCATTATCCAGGCCCCTCTCTCACTCCATTTATCTGTACTTAATAGAACTTCTTATTTCCAGAGGTCACACTTTATTGCATGTTTATCCTCTGAGAGTGGGGAGGTTCTGTGGGGATTGGGACCTGCAGGACTCTCAACAGTGAAAAGCTACATCTTTTCTTAAAAGCTCTTCCCATAAAAGCACTTGTGGTTCTTTGGCTGAACCAAATTTTTTCATCCATTTTATTGTGTCCTTGGTTACACAGTTATTTACTGTCTTGGTAGAATTTCAGAAACATAGGTTGGGAGAACATTGAATTGATTTCCAAATGTCACTTTGTTTCTCAGTCCAAGTCAGGTTACTTGGAAACTTTATAAAGCTGTAAGCCCTTACAGATGTGTGAGGTTAATATCTCCTATTGAAATCCAGACTATCCTCCTCTTTTTAATAGCCCTTAATGTCTATAATAGTCCATAATTCTGCCACAGGAGAGTTGGTTGCAAGCTGTCAGTGTCACATTTTCACTCCAGAATGGGAACCCAGATGTCTTCATTCCCTGGCAATAATGTGTGGTCTTTAGAGCTGCCATTCAGAGCTTCAGAGATGGGATAGGAACCAAGTCCTTAGGCCTGGCAGCACAGTTGTTCTGAGGATGACAAATGTTGGTCTTTGAAATGCAGTTTCAGCCATGGGCTGTCTTTTTTTTTCCCCAGCAATGTTGGGACTCATGTATGTGTACTGGACTCAGCTCAACATGTTCCAGACTCTGAAGTACTTGGCCATTTTGGGTGGCATCACATTCCTGGCAGGCAACAGGATGCTGGCTCAGAAAGCTGTGAAGAGGTAAGGGGGGCACAGAGCTTTAACATCAGTGGGGAGGAGGTGACAGGGTGCTGCTGTGTGTCACTGCTTTGGCCTCTTGGACCTTGTGTGTGGGGCTGGGCTGCTCAGCCCCATTCCCTGCCCCTTGATGTGGGCAGGGCAGTGAGGGGCTGTGCCCAGGGAGCAGCTCCTGCACAGAGAACTGGCCATGTGCTGAAGGAAGCTCTTAGAATACTGTTAGATTATGGAAGCCTCTATAAATGTAGAGGAGGCCCAACTGTTTGGGAGCTCTGCTTGTGATGAAGGTTTTAAGAGGAGGAAGGTAAGGTGGGAATAAATTACTGCTGTGTTCCTATAGCTAAGGGGTGGTTGTAGGGAAGAGGGAGCAGCTGCTTATCAGCTGTGCAGCATCAGACAAGAGGCAACAAACATTGGCAAACCAAGGGAAAATTCTGCTACATATTAGGGATACAGCATTCCTTTCTGTACTGGATTGGATTCATTCTGCACACTTGTGTCTTCTGCCACACAAGGTCTGGGGACTGCCCTGTGTGGGCAGGCATCAGTTTGCTGCCACTGCAGTGCCTTGTTAGAGGTCACACCATTCCCTGTCCTTCACTTCTGCCACACACAGTTTCCATGTGGGACTTAAGCTTTTGTACTAATGTAGCATTTGACTTTGAAGATGATTTACTGACCTGCTTTGCCATCACACCTGTGCTTTGCTTACTTTCCCCTTTTTGAGCTATTGGATACCTACCTGCATAGATATCCCTGCGGTCTCATCTTTTTGATTACATTCTATTAAAACCAGGACAAGAGCTGTAAAAAAAAAAAAACATAAGAATATAATTTTCAGGAGGGTTGCATTGATTTATTTTCTTTAAAACATCTCTACATTGATGGCTGTGTCAAGGAGGATGATTAATGTAATTAACCATTTTCATACTGTCCTCTCAGCTTTCTCAGCCTTGCTCCCTCAGATGTCCAGCTCTCTCTCCACTGGCATTTTATTGTGTTAACATAACTTCCTATGGCAATTTGGTTGCCCCTGGGATTGTTATGTCATTTAATAATGAGTAATGAGACATTGTTTTTAAGTGCAGATTGCCTAGGATACAGATTTGGGGGAAAATAATACAATGAAGCAAATTCCTGAGTGTCTTGGCTGAACCAGGGCTTCTGTTAGCACATGAATGCAGGTGGTTGGTTCCTGCTTCAAACCACTGCAGGGGGTGTCCGTGTGCGTTTTCACTGGAAATGACACGAAGCTGCAACTACAATGGCAAATTTGAAAGTAAAACTTCTCTCTGAGGCTAAAGTTAAACCCTTTGTACATGACTTTAAAGTTCAAAAAGACATCTTCTTGTGAAGGCAGTGCCTGCCTGTCTCAGATGCTGGAGTGCAGTGACAATTAAGCAGATTGCACTTTGAGGCCAAGCTGTGGAGGCCAACAGCAGCGTGAGAAGGGGGCTGGCTCTATAAACCAGCTTGTTACAGAAGTTACCAGAAGGCCTGGTTTTGCTTTTTGCATTTCTGTCACAGGGTCTGGCTGCTGGAACAGGGCTGCTTTCTTCCTTGCTGTCTTCTCTGAACCTTTTCCCTCTCTCCTTTTGGCAGGATCGCTGCAGAGCAGAGCAGTAGGTTGGCAAAGTATAGAACGCTGCGGTAAAAGGGGGTTTGCTAGTGACCAGCTCTTCAGGAAGTAAGGGCCTTTTTGCATTTTGCCTTTCCCTGGCCATGCTGCCTGTTTCATTTCACCTCATCACTCACTCCTTTGACAAAAAAAAATATGTGAGCTGGAGCTGCTTCCCCCAGCATTGCTTAATGGGCTTTAAATCAGTCCTTGGGTGCCCTGGCTGCAGCTGGGTTGGGCATATTAGCAGAACATGTTCTCTGAGACTAAATTGCATTTGTGTGATTTCCTGAATTATCTGAAGTCTGTGTGGTGATATGTGCACATGTAAATATGCTGTTGTGGGCATCAAGCAGCTCTCAGGTGACGAAATAATACAATATTATTGGTCCTATAAATAAATTATTGGCAATGTCAGCTGGAGGAGACCATGGTGAAAGTGGCTGACTCTGGGGCTGTTCCCACCCTGCTGTTGGTACTCCTTGTCCCCACCTGCAGCATTCTGTGCAGCTGCCAGGCACTCTGCCTGCTGAATTGCATCCTCATTTGGGCTGGTGAGGGCTCTGTGCAGCAGAGCCAGGTCAGCACCACCTCTCTCAGCTGAGAGCACGACCCAGTCCTGGGTCACCCTCCCATTAGACTGAATTGATGGACTGCCATGATGGCTCAGGCAGCAGCAGCTCCCAGACCCCTCCATTCCATACAGTCATGTGCTGGCTCTCCATTGCCCTTTGCCAGCAGAAAGCCCTTTGTGTCCTTTCATTCCCAAAGGTAAGGTCCCAGTTTGCCAAAGGTAAGGTCCCAGTTTGCTCTGTGCACTGTGGTGTGGGGGGCAGGACTGCCCAGTTCTGAGTGTGTGTGCATGAGGGCTTCATTCCTTGCTCAGTGCACTGGTTTGTGGTGGGGCAGAGGAAGAGTTTGTGGCATGGGTCCTGTGATGACACAAATCACTGGACAATGTGCTGCACAGGTACATCTGAGCATCTGCTTCCCCTCACATCCACTGTCAGTGCTCCAGGCACTGGGCAGTTGAATGGAGCCCAGTTTTCGTGGTGCAAATCAAAACCAGCACTGGGAGGTTGTGCCACACAAAAGGTGTGCACTGTGCTCCTGTCTGCAGTTTTTACCTGTGGAAAATTTGGCATCATGTCCCTCAGAAAAACCCCCTTTGCTGTCTTTTCTCTCCCTGGAGTGTTTTGAAGTACCTGAGCACAGAACAAGCCACAGCAAGTTATTGGAGAGGAACTGGAGGTGGCTGTGCCTTGTCCTTTTGACTGCTGTGTTTGCTGTTCAGGCTCCTGGATGCTTCTCTTTAGCATCACTTTGGGCCAGTGGTTTGCAGCTTTTTAGTGGCCTGTTCCCAAGTGCCTCATGAGTGTGTTCTCCACAGCCTGCATGTTTCCTGTTCCTCAGCCTGGTATTTTAACTCCTTCATTCCTTATGGGCTGTAAGTAATCCTAGAGGATCATGGAATCACAGACTGGTTTGGGTTGGAAGGGATCTTAAAGCCCTCCAGTTCCAACCCCCTGCCATGGGCAGGGACACCATCCACTAGACCAGGTTGCTTAGGGACACATCCACCCTGGCCTTTAACAAATTCCAGAGATGGGGCAACAACTGCTCCTCTGGGCAACCTGTGCCAGTGCCTCACCACATTCTGAGTTTGAAAATTCTTCCTAACATCTAATCTAAACCTGCCCTCTTTCAGTTTAATACCACTGCCCTATCTGGCTCTATAAAACATCCCTCTCACTCCTTTTCATAAACCCTTCAAGTCCTGCATGGCCACAGTGAGGCCTCTCTTGGGTCTTTTCCAGGCTGAGCATCCCCAAGTCCCTCAGCTTTGCCTCAGAGCTGTCTGTGGCCCTAAGATCTTGCAAATAACCTAATACCCACAAACCCTAATTTAGATTTTGCTGCCATGTGCAGTCCCAAACCTTTTTCCTCACTGCTGAGTTTTCTGATGCCCCAGCTGTGTCAGTTAAGAGTGTCATGCTATGTGTGGCATCATGGAAGGCAGAAGGACCTCAAAAGGTTGGGTTTGCTGTGCTAACCATCCCTGATCTTCCTGGGGAGATGAAGATCTCTGTGTTAACATGGACCAACAATTGCCAGCAGATGGATCAGCCCTGATAAAAGGAGGAGTTAAGGTACTTGCAGGTTTTGCCTTCAGCCTGGGTTGTTTTTTCTTTGTTCAGTTCTGTAATTTAATAGGCACCTTCATGCCTTTTGCATCAGAAATTAATCTTCATTTTCTCTGACCATTTCCATGCTCCCTGAATTCCATCCCCCATCCCAGAGCAGTGCTGGTTTATCACTCAAATAAGCTGCTTTGGGGAATTTTGTTCAACAAGCTGCTTTTGAGAGAGAATGAGGGGTCTGGGGACACTTGTACTGTACAGGCCAGTGCTTTGTTGCCTGGAAGAGTTAATATTTTTTTATTTTTCTTTCCAGGACACAATAGTACCAGAAGAATGGAAGAAATGTGGAAAAACAAAGCAAATGCTTTCAGAACAGAAGCAAATAAATAACTGAAAGGCCAGAAGAAGGAAGGCAGAAGATAATTCTTTTTTTATATATTAAGTCAAATGGGTGCCAGTTAAACTTTTTTTAAAATCTTTATTTTCATCATTGTGTTCATGCTACTGGAGTGCTTTTCATATGAATCTGGAAAATCTTTTCTTCCCTGGATCCTCTCCCCTTCTCCCAGGACATTTGAATTTCTTTTTGAGAAAAAGGAAGAAGAAAATACAAATCTGCTTTTTCCCCAGGTGCCCTTTCCTCATCCTAAAGATTTGTGAATAAAGAGGAGGAAAGGATGGTCCTGAGTGTTGTGTTTTGTCTGTCTCAGAGGCAGTGGATGGAAGCTGGGCTCCTATGAGAATGAAAGGAGCTTTTTCTGGTGGGTAATTTTGTGTGTGAGTCATTGCTGAGTGTGAAGCTTCCTGTTCTTTCATGTCCTTTCCCTGGGGGCTGTGTTTATTGGGGGGCACTTCCCTCCTGCCTGGCCCTTGGGTGAGGCTGTGGCTGCTTTCTGCACTGAAGGTTTGTCTCTCTCACTCCAGGCTGTGCCCAGCTGCTCTGGGCCCTGGGGCTCAGCCCTTGTGGGAGCCTGCAGTGCTGCTGTGCCTGGCTGTGTCTGACCCAGCAGCTTTGGGGGTCCTGTGGGGGCTGCACTTTCTTTCTAGCCTCTGGCAGTGACCTTCTTATTCCAGATTGATGGAGTTGTTGCTTCTGCTCTCCTGTGAAACCACAGCCAGGTGTGCTGCTTGCCACGTGGCTGTGTTTGAGTTACTCAAACTCCAATTTCCCAACTAATTACTCCCTTCAGGACCACCAAGCAATGCTGGGGCAGCAGCTTTGGGTGTTACTGAAGGACTCACAGATAGTAATAACCAAAGGCCTAAATCTCCTCCTCATGAGCAACTTTCATGTGGAAAATTTAACATTTGCTCCTGTGCATCCTCTGTCAAGGGTAGGTGTTTAGAGGCCTTTTGGCAAAGGAACCTTATCAAAGTCTTCTGGAAATCCATGAAAATTACATCAGCAAGCAAGCATGTGCATAGAGGGTGTGGAGCTGAATCCTCCGAAGCATTTCACGTATGTGAGACGTGACCCCACTTTATTAAACCCACCTTGTCTGTTCCCCATGCTTGTTGCTCACACTTAGCTCATTGTTCCTGCTCTTTGTAGCTGTTCCTACCTGCTGCTGCAGTGTAAACATTGGGGTGGGCCCACAGAGGTTTCATGAACTTCAGTGACCTCCCCTGCACTCCTTCAAACACCAGATCTCAGGCTGCATTCAAGTCCTCTGGGACTAAAGGGGTTTTAGACAAGAAATAACTAAGCTATTCATAGTCATTTACCCTGAAATATTTTTTTTAGCCCTGTATTTTGTTACTGCTCACTTAGAAGCTTTGTAACTAATTCTTTCTGCTGATGCTTTGTGCTAGGACAGAACTTTCCCTGTGCCTATAAAGCTGCAGCATTTTATCCAAGGAGAGCAGGGATGCAAAAGGAGAATTATGGAGTGCCCCTGTGATGTGTCTCCTCTAAGCTGTGTGTTGCTATTGATTGTACTACTTATGGATTAGGAAAGATTGTTTTTATTATTTTAGTCTTTTAGTCCTCAGATATTTTTTTATTTGCTTTGTTTTTATATTTAATCTCACAGAGTTTGAGCATTTGTTTCCTTATTTTGAAGCAAACTGAACCTGCAAAGGAGTCTCTTTTATTCCAAATAGCTGCACTCACCCATCCATTTAATCACAGACTTAATCACCCAAACACTTTCTGAAACGTTTTTGAAAGGGTTTTGATTTTATTGGCAGTATCCAATCCAATGTTTGCATATGCCTTTTATGCCACTTAACAGAGTTTAAATTCATCTTGCTACTCTGTCTACTTACTGCTTTAGAAATCTTTTTCATTGTTTGTAATTCCTTTCCTTGTAGTAAGTCCTCATGGCTTTGAGTGTGTTGTTACAGAATATGTTTAGAAATCCATTTTGGACCAGGCTCCTCAGGTGATTCCTTTGTGTATTTCTGCACTGTGGAGCAGAAGGAAGGGCCTGTGGAAGGGCAGCAGTTATCCTTTAGTGCTCCTGCTGCTGTCACAACCTCACTGCTCTGCCTCAACATCCCCTCAGTGTTCCCCATCCTGCTGGGTGCTTTGTAACCCTTCCCTAGAGCTGGAATTGTAAAACCTGAACAGGCTCGAACAGGGAGGGAGTTGTGCAAGGATGAAATCATTTCCATGCACACTGGAGCCTCCTGTCCTAAAACATTGCACCTGAGGAAAAATGAGATAATTTTGCAGACTTACATGGAATTGTTGGAATGCAAGGAGGGAAGGCTTCCTAGGCCTTAACACACATTTATATACCATTGTGTTTCCAGCCTGGTGTTGTTACTGGTACTGGAGCTGGTGCCTTTGTCTGCCCAGTTTTGATCATCCTTGGTGCACTTGACACCTGTGTCTGAAGAGCATCTTCCTCAAGAAACTAAGGTCTCAACAAAAGAGCCATCTTGACCTGCTGTTGGACAGGTTTATTTAGAACAACTCTTATTTCCTGTTGCTGATGGGAGAGCAGACCCCATCCTGGTGTTATTTACATTTCTGAAGACAATTACACAAACCACAGGGGGATTGGGGTGAGAGGGAGCAAGGAGCTGTATGAGATCACTGGGCTAATAACTTACTCCTTTTAAAACATTTACAGCTGCAACAGGAGGTTGAGTTGAAACAGTGACAGCCCAATCTGATGCACAGGGATCTCCTTTAGCTCTGGCAGAGCTGTAACTTCAGCTTGAACTCCTCAAGGCTGAGCAGGAACCATAGCTGAGCATTTTAGAGTTTATTCTGTGTCAGGCAGGCAGCAGCAGCCCTGGGCAGTGTTTCCAGTGAATGGGAGATGTGTGAATTCATCTCTCACCTCTCCCTGATCCTTGCTGTGTGTGGCTGTGCCATCAGCATCAATTTGGAGAACGCTGTAATCAATTTACTAAGTTGCCTAAAGGTGCCTTTTGGTGGCCTCATATTTATTAATCAAGCCCTCAAACAGAAAGATGACTTGGCAGAAATTTTGCCACACTTTGTGATTTGAAACCTTAATTAGCAGACAGGATGTCCCCAGGATTACAAGTGTACTTCTTTTAGTCTCTGTGTATAGCAGCCTGAGGTTAAACCACAGAGGTTTGTTTTCTAATTTAGTACAGAGCAGTATTTCAAGAGGGGAGTTAAATTGTAAAGACTGGAGTAAATTAAGTAGTGCTTCAGCACTGCATTCCTCTGATCAGATCTGAGGAGTGTGTGCATCAGGTTCCAGCTGCTCACATCTGGGAGTGTCTTCACTGCCACGAAGGGCTCACTGTACAGTTTGGTCCATGAGCTCTGAATTATTCTAGACAGAAAGAGGAGGAAAAGAGAATTACCAGAAAACTTCATAAGCACACACAGACATTTTTTCATCCTTTGGAGGCTTTTTCTGACTGACCTTATCTGTGGAAAGGTAACCAAGTCAAGCATGGCAAGGGAGATGCTGGAATGTTATGTTCTCACAGCTGTGAGATTTATGTAGAGTTCTGATCTTCCCCCTCTTCCCCAGCCCCTCTTTTGTTCAGTGTGCACACTGATGTCTCCACACCCCTTTCTATTGTGCTGGCAGGATTGGACAGGCTTCATTTCTATGGGACAGCTGATCAAGGGAAGGTATTCCCAAGGATGGATGGTGTGCTGTCTCTCATTCCCCCAGGAATGGCAAGACTTGGAGCATAATTCAAGTTCCAGCTGACTGTTTTCAGGAGTGAGGGATACAGAAAACAGTAAAACTTTCTCTGCTGTCCAGTGCAGGGAAATCCTGACATGTCCCAGGGACCTAGAGACAGGTTCTGCTGCTGGAGAAAGATTTTGTCTGCCTTGAGCCTGGCCTAGACCCTCAGGCACCCCATCTCAGATAGCTTTGCAAGGCTGCTTTGTGCTGCTGCAAACCTGTTCCCAGACACCCACATGCAGCTCCACAGCACTTGTGTTCTGTCTGTTCAATCTAACAGGGTTTTAGGTACTTGACAATATTATTGGGAGCTTTTTCCCCCTTAAATTGCAGCAAGCACCTTTTTCATGGGCAGCAGTGGGCGCTGGCATTGCTGAAGGAGAGCCTTCAAACCCTGAGCAGTGCAGCAGCAGTGAGTTATGCACAGGGTTGAGCAGGGAATGGTACTCACCAGAGCGTGGGGAGGTGAAAAGGGAGAAATATTTACATGAGCTTGGCCAGGGTGCTGGGAAAGCCTTCCAGCCCACTGCTGTCAATGTCCTGAGGCCTGCCAAGGAAGAGGACAGGGATGGCATCACTGGGATCAAGAGAGAAATTCTCTTTTCTGCTACTACTTGACTGGATTACAAGGCTGAGAAGACAGCAGAGTGATGTGCTGCTGTGTGGTGCAGGCTGCACCCTGCTTGTGAGCTCAGCCTTATTCTTTCCCTGAAAGGACACTTAATTCAGCACGTTCACCCGTGTTAGGCAGGCAGTGATAAGGAGCTGGGTGTGCTCCTGCAGTGGGCAGAGGGTGACCCGACTGCCACCCACCTGTGGCTCTGCAGGATGGCTCCCAGGAAGTCCCTCAGCACCATCTGCTGCTGGTACTGGCTGTCCATCAGGATGCTGTCGGACTGGCGCCGGCTCAGGAATTCCTGCAGCCCCTCCCCTGGGCTGCTCTCGCTGCTTCTGGTGGGTGAAGATGAGAAATCTCTTTGTTTCTGACATGCTTTTTGTCCTTCACTCGAAGGTTGGCTCAGCACAGAAAGGGAGCCTGCTGGGACTGAGCCTAAGGAAACTCTGCTTAATTTCAGCAAGGAACTGGGCACCGTATTTGCTGCTTTGTTAGAAGATGGGTTGGGCTGGCTTGCATCTGACCAGTTGGTCTTGTTCAGTGCCAGTCAGTGATCTAAGTAGCCAAGGGTAATGGAGAGGCTGTTTTCTGTATTCACACCAGGCCAGGGATAATAGTTCCTGTCACAGACA